TTTCCTTTTCCATGCTGAATAGGTAAGGTGAATATATATTTCTAGTAATAAAGAATAAATCCCAACATTACGTAACCCTTCTTTTATTGAACACTTGGGTAATGCGGAATCCATTATGTGTATATTCTTTCTTATCAATATCGAAATTCCACATGGCATGAGGATAATTAGTTGGCAAAATTAAATAGTAACTTATTAAATAACGCAGTTTATAGCCAATTTACCAGGTCGGATTTTACTATGAAGCACGTTAGCGATTAAGTGCAAAAAATTAAGTATTCCATCCATTGATTATTCTTTGGGGCAAAAAAGGACAATAATTTAATAAACGAACAATTTATGAATGGCTGCGGCCGTAATTGCCAAATATTTCAAAAGTCCACATATGTTCAAAACTTTTGTTGATTCACCTAATTTAAGTGTTCTAAATGACGTTAGGCGCCTTTTAGGTGTTCGGCCAGTGCCTGGGCGTGGCTTAGAAATACCTCTTTAATATAATTTCAAAACGTGATGAGCTTAAATGGCTGGCTCGCACATTTCGGAAGCTTACTTGGCAACATTACATGCTTCGGCTTTTGGTTCGGATAAAAGTTAATACTATTATATTCCAAAATAAATAAGAAAATAAAATACTTAATTAATAGGATTTTTGTTTAATCCGATCCCTCCAACTCCAAAATAAATAGAATTCTTATTCTTATCTATATGCCGTGTAAATAGGATTTTTTGTTTTTTATTATAATATTAAAAAATACTTAATAATATTCCAAAATAAATAGGTTTGGAAATAAAATACTTATTTAATATGATTTTTGTTTAATCCGATCCCCTCCAACTCCAAAATAAATAGGATTCTTATTCTTATCTTATATGTCGTGTAAATAGGATTTTTTGCTTAATATTATAATATTGTAAAATACTTAATAAATAAAATTTTTGCATAATCCGACCCTCTCGAACTCCAAAATAAATAGCCGTGTAAATAGGATTTTTTTCTTAATATTATAATATATTTTTGGTTAATATTATAATATTATAAAATACTTAATAAATAGGATTTTTGCTTAATCCGATCCCCTCCAACTTCAAAATAAATAGGATTCTTATTTTATATGCCGTGTAAATAGGATTTTTTGCTTAATATTATTATATATTTTTGCTTAATCTTTGCCAAAATCGGTGTGAAACTATCAATATTGAACCACAAAAATTACACGGGTTAAGAATCCTATACCAATAAAAAATTTCTTATATAATTCATTCATTGGTTTTTATAAATGTTTCTTCTTCTTATTGTAAGATTTTATAACTTTTTTGTTTGTATTTTATTTTTCATATATGATATATCAAATTAACTATCTTTTAACGATTTTCGAATTGACACTCATATTATATATATAAAATACAAAACAATAATATATTTCCTTATAAATAAAATTTAAATTTATTTATCAAGCTAAATTAAATTATATCAAATAAAATTATAAATTATATTATAAAAAATAAATATTATACATAATTGTATATACTATAAGGATCAAATGCATGTGTCCCTATTCTTGAAATCAGAATGTGAGACTCAACCCTAGCTATTAAATAAGAAAAATGGTGTCTGGTCAAGATTTAATATTTTTATTGTTTGAATTTATTAAATATTGATTTGACCGTGGACCTCTGGCGTTGACCGTAGTTTGTGCCCCTATTATCCTTAAAGTCTACGTCCGCTCCTGGATACGACACTGATATATTATGCATCTAATTAAGTAAAAAAACTAATTTATTTTGCTTAATATTAAATAAACATATTTTACACTTATGCATATACATATGACCATATTATTTCTATTTATTTAAGATATATATTTTTGTACTTATGTATTAATAAATAATATCGATATTTTTATATGATATAAGTAAAAAAAAATTAACACGAGTTGACATTTTCATTTAATGTACGGGTTTTTGATTATTATGATTAGAAAAATATAATTTGACAATTTAATTAAAACCCAAAGTAATGTTTTATATAAAATTTAATTATTTTAGTTTTTAAAAAAAATAAAAAATTTAATATGTTTTACAAAAGCTTTCTAATTCAACACCCGTGTAATACGCGGGTATTGTACTAGTCAAGGTTGAATATCTTATTTTTTATTTATTTTCACTACCTACAAAATAAATTATCTCAAATTATAATAAATCCACGCATCTAATTACAAATAATAATGGGTTTAATGTACCAAAACCCCCCTGTATTATACTAAATCTGCGCATTTCCCCCCTCTAATTTAAAAATTATGTCATACCCCCTTCTATTAAGGTTTCAGGTGCACACACTCCCTTGTCTCTATTTCTCCGTTAACGGCTTTAGTTTTTCTTCAAAAGTCCCATTATACCCTCTGAATATTACACATATATTTACGATATATTGAATATATCGCGATATATTGAATAAAAAAAAATTGCAACCCTTAGGACTTGAACCTGGTACATCATGGGCGCAGGACAAGTAATGCAATCACTACACCACTCAAGGTTGAGTGTTAGAACTAAGAATGTTTGATATATATGGACATTGTTATGGATAAGTGAAATTAAATTTAGAATATAATAATTATATTAAATTAAATTATTAAAATATAAAGTTATGATAATTCAAATATAATAACGTAAATTATATAAAATTAAACGAAAAAAATAATTTAAATAACTTATTATGTTAAACGAAAAAAAAAATAATTAAAATTAAATAAAAATAAATATAAAAAAAATTGTAGTTAAATAATAAATAATATAATAATTAAGTAAATCTATATATTTATAAAATATTTTTAAAAATATTAAATAGTATAATATTAGTTAAAATAAATAAATACAAATCATATATAGCTATTTAATAAAAAAANATATGCTTTGGATAGACTTCATGGAGGCCCTGCACGGCTAATTCTCTTCGCTTTATGAATTAACCTAGAGAGTACCTAATTAGTTGAATACGATTGAAATCCTGAACTTAATACTGTGAGATCTAATTAGTTTTATCTATTAATTCATGGTTCCTATTAGTTATTTTGTGCGTTTATGTTAATGATTTTGTGTTAGGATTGTAACTTGATCAACTATTGTCTTGTGCACTTAATCTATTTCTTGGTAGATATTGAGTCGGATATAGATAATTTATCTATCGTAAGAAGCAATCGGGTGTGGTAATTGAACAGATTTAGGCGTTATCATTCTTAGGCAAAATAATTATACCAGTTAATATTTAGCAGATATAATTATTTGTTGCTTGTGTTGTCGATCTCTAGTTCTAAATGCTACTGCTAGGATAATTTTATACGATGTTGGGAATTGCCTGGTAATAAGGGTTGTGTAGAAGGATTTATTTCGCATAACCAATTCAGGAGATAGAATTCATCATTCAACAGCAACTACGTATTTATGAATTAATAATATTTGCATCAAAGATCAGTAGAATAATTTGGGTGTGAAAATCAAATCAACCGGAGCACTTTAGCTATATCTTGCTGTTTACTTTTGAATCTTTTATTTAATAATCGTTTACCAATACTATCTTTATTTTCTTGTTAAGTAGATAATTAAGATTACAAATTAAATCTCTCCAATTTTAATCACATAGTTAGAGTCATCTAACAAAATTATTCCCCGTGGATATCATCCTTGCTCACGCTACTACATATTTTTAAGCAAGATTAATTTGGGTGCTTATGACAGCTTGACCAAATTTTGGCAATGTTGCTGGGGAATTATTTTAATTAAATATTTGACTTTGTCATATTATTATTATTATTATTATTATTATTATTATTATTATTATTATTATTATTATTATTATTATTATTATTTATTTATCTTTTCTTTTGTATGTTATCTTTTACTTGTCCAACAACCTGGTTAGTATGAATTTCTTTTTCCAGTTGATTATCGGGACGCGATCCAGTGTTCCCGAAGATATTCAATTTGACTCAGAAATTGAGAAAACAGCCAGAAGGTTGAGAAGAGAAGCAAGGCAGAGGAAGGGATTCTTCGACTACTTTCCCGACTCAACACTAGGATTGTTCAAAACAAGCGATCATCTAGCTCAAAAGCTTTAATCATGGTGGATCTTTTTTCTTGACCACTTGCCCAACCCAACACTAGGGTTATTCGAACAAGCGATCACCCCACTCAAAAGCCTTAGTCATGGTGGATTTTTTTTCCTCGACCTTTTTCTCAACCCAACATTTGGATTGTTCAAAACAAGCGACCACACAGCTCGAAAGTCTTAATTATGGTGGATTTTTTTTTCTTTTCAACCACTTGCCCAACCCAACACTAGGATTGTTCGAAACAACGACCACCCAGTTCGAAAGCCTTAATCATGGAGGACTTTTTTCTTCGACCACTTGCCCAACCCAACACTAGGATTATTCAAAACAAACGACCACCCAGCCTGAGGGCCTTAATCATGGTGAATTTTTTCTTTAGCCACTTGCCCAACCCAACACTAGGATTGTTCGAAACAAGTGACCGCCCAGCCAGAGGGCCTTAATCATGGTAGATTTTTTTCTTCAACCACTTGCCCAACCCAACACTAGGACTGTTCGAAATAAGCAACCACCCAGACCGAGAGCCTTAATCATGGTTG